AAACAAAAAATAAGAAAGAAGCTTTACAGTTCGAAGAAAATAGTCCAACTCACCTATCGCAGTCCGTCGCTAAAATCTCCGGTGGATGACTTTGAGGTCGTGGTTATGTACATCAAACACATGAACACTAACCGTTGGGGAGAATTTCTGTTCACAAAACAAATACGCATATTCATATTTGTAAACCCACAAAAAGAAAAAAATTTAAATAAAGAAAGAAAGAAAGAAGCTTTACAGTTCGAAGAAAATAGTCCAACTCACCTATCGCAGTCCGTCGCTAAAATGTCCGGTGGATGACTTTGAGGTCGTGGTTATATACATCAAACAAATGAACACTGACCGATGGATCTACTCTTGTTTCAAGGTCGGTGGCATGTAGGAGGAAAAGCGAACACGAAAACACGGGCTCACTACTATTACTCACTCTTATATATGGAAGTTTCAAGTTTCGAAAGACAAATCCAGCGATGGACAATTCTTCAACATTTTGAACAAACGATCAAGGAGGAAATGAGGCGAAAATTCGAAGAGGAGAGATGGGGAGCGGCGGAAAATATCAACCTAGGGTAGAAATGTTTTAGGGTTTGCACCTCCTATCCCAAATTTATACAAATCCAAAACGGCAGCGTTCCAAACTTATTAAGTAACAAACGACGTCGTTTTTACAACTTCACAAAATGGCGTCGTATTGGACGAAATGTGAACAGTGCCGGACGGATTCACTCTTATAAGTTTGTAGGGATGTGTAAGCTAGTTGGCTTAATTTTTTAACTATAAAAATTTAAAAATTATTTGATTCGATTTAAAAATGATTCTAAACATCGAAACCTCAACAAATAGTTTTGAACAATTTGATTCGATTCACAGTTGAAACGTTGATGAGCTCTATTGAGCCCAAATCAAGAATTTTCTATCCAAAAATTCGATTCAATTTGCGATTTGACGGATTTTTTTTTATGCAGCCCTGCTAATGAGGTAAGACCGTGGTAGCACAAGTGGAGGTGACTGGTCACTAAGGTTGTGACCCGAATCTATTGTCGGATGGGTCCATAGATGAACCACCGGCCACTAATAAGCTTTTGTTGCTGTCCAATTTTGTAATTAACAGGCCAATGAAAAACTGCATTGGAAATTTTGATTACTACCTACTATTGAAACTGAAATTTAAAATTCAGAGTAAAAACAAAAGATTTAGAAAATTTGTATCATTGAAACTGTACCGGTAATTATGGAATGTTTACACGGCCGAATTTTCAAAAATAGCACTTCTAATCTCTGGCCCATAATTATCATCTAATGAAAGTGTCGTCTCTTTTGGATATTTGACAAGTATAGCACTCAACGAAGCTATTAATATATTTCTAACCTGTTATAGAGTTTTACTTTTGGTACCTCCCTGTGTAATACTTCTGAAATCCGAATTCACTTATATAAATTCTAAATATACTGAAAATAAGCTAGAATAGACAATCGAGGTCGAGAATATTTCATCAATTTTTATCAAAAAATCTACAAAAAAATTTAATTTTTATTTATAATCTACAATACAAGAAAATATTAATTATCCATATGTACTTATACTTTCTTGCCAATATACAAATAGCCAAATAGGGTATGGTCATATTTAGTTAATAGATTAGTTAGAGAAGGAATTTTTAGCTGTTTTTCGAATCAAGTGTTATGAATTCACATGAGACCAAGTCAAGAAATGTCAATAATTTATAAACGAAAGCATGTTGGAACAAAATCAAAATTTTATTTTACAATAACAAAAATTAAGATTCGTTACATAAAGTCCTTTATCTTCACCTCAATTAATTGCTACACCTGCTAAGAGATCCAGAGACATATCATAACAACTTAAAAAAAATTATCCACATATTCATTGATTCTTTCTTGAAATACTACTTATGCCTAGATGAGAGTTTGGCATAGTCTTCCATTATTATATAAAAATAGGTGCAATAATTAAGGGTGAAATTTCACACATCTTAAATATACAAACTATAGTCGACAAATATAAGCTAGCTCAGACAATTCCACTTAACAAGATTAACCTTAAAAATAGAACTTAAAGACTTTATATTACAAAATTTCAAGATTAGTATTCTTGAGGCACCATCCTACGGATTCATGTTAAGGATAAAATTTTATATTGATTGAATATTAAATTGAGAATATCAACATGCAAGATTTCGGTTTTTTTTTTTTAATTTTATTTTAGGATTGATCTTTTAAAATGAAACTCTCACAATAAAATATATAAAAACTAAGCTCCATACTATGAGAGTATGAGTTTAATAGGGTTTCATGTTTTCTAGGTTCGTCATTAACAATATTTTTATTAACGTCCACTAGTTGGCTAAATTAGGGCTAGCCGAACGACGAGTCTAGATATACGTTCCAGATTGGGAGCTTTGAGAAAAAAATTTCAGGTTGCTAAGCTTGATAGATTAGAGTTTCCAAATATTTGCTAAACATGTTAAGTAGTCTTTACATCTGTTTTCGATGTATGTTCTTTCCTTTTGGAAGGGAGTACTTTCTTATTTACTTTTTAAAAATCACATCTTCTTCTCTAATTTAGCCAACTAGTGGAAGTTAAAATTAAAAAATGAACCAGTTGGTTGCATTCATCTAGAAACAAAGATTTGAAAGAGAATTGAACCATTCCATGCTGTCTAGAAGTATCCATATTTAAACTAGATAATCATGCATCGCCTAACTATAATATTTTGACTTTTGAATTGACGTGATCCAGTAGGAAAGACTAGAAATATTCTGAGACATTCACTACGCAAACAAAAGACTAATTTTTATGAAGTGAACAAAATGATCATAAGCTCCATTTGAATAAATTAGATGGTTGATACATATTGTTTATTAAATTATTTTAATTAGAGTAGAATGATTGATTCATCACTTGTCTTACGTTTTGGAGGTCCGAATGGACATGCTCAACTTGAATGTAAGCAAAATGGATGAAGAAAAATTGAAGTTTAACGAGTTATATATTACTGATTGATCTTAATTAAAGGACATTCGAATTTGTCCATCAGTAATGAATTGACATCTTTCATATGTTAGAGATACTTGATAGTCAATAACTAACTGAATTTTGTTACGTCTTAATTTAGTTTTACCCAACTTAACGTATTAGGAAATTTTGACGGAACAACACATCGGTACATCTATTATATTGAACCATTTTTATCTAATATCTTTAGTTATTATATGGGATTGTTCAAAATGTTATCAGATAAGTTTTGATTTCAAATCTTCTTACCATTCATTAAGAAATTTGTGGATGTATCAAAATTTTGTTTTAAAATAAATTCAACATACACTTTAGTTGAGATACAATCAAATTTAAATTCATTATAATTTAAACTTTTAGATAAAGTGATTCGAAATTATAAATCTTGCAAGATGAAAGAATCCAACTAAAAAGTAATCTTAGGATAATCACTTATGTATACCAATGAACCAAACACAATTACAAAAAATTATTTATAGAACGATCCATTGTCGTATGCTTACGACATTTCATTGCTAGTTGTGCAATACTTATATAAATCTTGTTTTAGTTCTCTTCATTCCATTGGAAGTTGAACGTATATATGTTGGAGCTTGTCCTTATAACTATGAATGACTTTCTAAATGATACATTTAAAAATAGACATTTCAACTAACAACACCTCGCTAGCTTTGTCTAATATTGTTAGATTTTACAAGAGAAACTTTGTTTGGACAATATTCTCAAGACAAACAGAGGATCCAATTACATGAAAAAGGCAAATTATACAAGATTTACACGGTTTATTTGATTAAATTATTCAAGAATAAGGGGGACCATTTTTATTTTTTTTTATAAAATAAAGATGATGGCGATTATAAATATTATATGGTAAGTTATAGATTACTCGACCTGACAAGACTATGTTTGAATTTCTTTTTCATTTCTAATAATGTTTAATCCAATGTATAGTGCCTTCTAGAAAGAAATGAAATTTCCTAGGTGAGGGAGATCGATCGAGATTGCCTTTGGCTTCCTAGAATACGAAGATAGTTATATTTATTGACAATTTTTTTTCAATTATTATTATGTTTATTCGTGAAATAGACTTGTAATTTTCTTAAATGGATGTAAATTACACCAATCACATCCATACTATAAATTGGTCTCATCTATCATAACTTTAGTTTTAGCCCCTATTTGGCCACCATTTTTTGGTAACGAAATGGGTAGAATAGGTTTTTTTATTTTTTGAAAAATGAATAATTGAAAAGAAGGAAAAAATTTTCGATTGACGTGTATTATTATTTTAAGGAAGATTGTGTAATTGAAAATTGAAGAGAGAGAAATAGAATGTAATGAAATGTAATAAATGGGGGCCAAACGGAGACTTAATATCAAGTGGTTCCTAGTCATATCTTAAGTTCAAATTCCACCACATTCTTTAAATTACTTATCTCTCTAACAATTAAAATTTTTGACTACTTTAATTTAGATAAAAATCAAATTTTTAGTAGATTTTGATAAAAATTGAACAAATATATAGTAAAAAGTTATGATCATGAAATATATGATTAAAATTAATTATTTACTTTAATTTAAATTTTAATAATTTTTTTAGCTGAACCAAACATGGACCAAATTAGATGGATCAAGAGGTGTCCCTTAGATCAACTTTTACATTATACCTGTCTTTATCCTCCACAAACTTCAAATGCACAGTAGTTGCATATATTGACCATAACAGTACTCAAAATTTGCATTTATGAAAAACCAGCCAAATCCAATACAATGAAAATTCCATACTGAAAGAGCCAAATGAGAACTACCACGCTGCAAAACTACCAACAATTGAGAGGACTTTCCAGTTGAAGCTTTTCTTATCATAGATTCTATATTCAACTTCCTGCATTAAATTTTCGTCTATATATATTTCCATCTCCTTCTCTTCTAGGATAAACTATTCATTGCAGTTGAATATACGTATATGGAGCAGTACTTGCGGTATAATTTGTTGCAGACGAAGAGGAAGAAAGTTATGAATTCAGCGAGCAGTTCATGGGAGGAAGAAGCTTTTACAGAAGACTCCATGGGTCCTCTTGGAGGATATATTTGGCCTCCAAGATGTTATTCATGCAGCTTTTGTAATAGAGAATTCAGGTCTGCACAAGGACTTGGTGGCCACATGAATGTCCACCGGCGGGATAGAGCTAAACTGCAACAATCTCCTGATCAGAAAAAAGAAGTTTTTCACCAAGAAAATCGTCGTCTGAATCTTCCTGATGTTAAACATCAATATGAAGCTTACGAGTATGGTAAAAAATCCAGCTTTTCAGCTATGTTTTATCAAGAAAATTCAGTTGATCATAATCATTTACACGGCTCTCCTTCTTCTTCTCCGCGTAAAACAACATTGGGAGAGAATCCTAGAAAAGTAAAACAGATGTTAAAATACGATGATGAGATGATTAGCTGCAGCAATAAGAGACATAAAAAAACTAGTGTCCCATCATTGAAAATCTTTCAGAAAACCAGCTCCATGGAGGACATTGATCTTGAGCTAAGGTTAGGAGATCCTCCAGCAGTGAAGTAGATGAACATTCAAGAAGAATTATCTTTTGGTTGATGGACGGAAACTCATATATGTTATTAATTATTAGATTTTATTTTCTGGCTGTTACTTACTGAAATTGAATTTTTAGTAAACAAATCTGTATGGTACTTGTTAACTTAATTTCAATTTATGAATTAGTCAGCATTAGAAATTAATGCAAGTATTTTCGTTTTTATTTTCTGGTGAATGTTATGATGTTGATAAGCAAATCTTTTCGACAAGAGAAGTCCATACTTGAGCAATCGGTTATGAGTTTGGTTTTGATCCTTACCCATTAATCCAAATTAAAATGAAAGTACCAGAGACCTCCGGTAAAAGAAATAAACGTAAGTAATACAAGAACAACGAATTCGAGATTGACTTGTGGCAACCAGTAGTTTTTGACATTATGGTCTTTCTTATTGCTCACAAAATATAAATGTGAGTATGAACGAGTAATAAAGTCAAGTACACGATGCTCAAATTTTTCAAGTTGTTCACAGCTAAATCAATACCGTTCGTGCAGTTATTAATAAATTTATTTTGTGAGTCTTTCAATAATCTTTCTACAATATACACTGTCAACGGCAAGAATTTTGCAGCAAGATAAGAAAAAAGATGAATTCTTGGGTGGGGTACTTATGTGAGGTGAAAGAAGTGACAGTTTCTTGACAATAAATCCCACAACTAATAGAACTAACAATTAATAAAGAATTTCACCGCATGGAGCCTCCATTTGTACATAGTCTGTTCATTTTTCTCCTAGAAACTTCCAAAAACCCCTCAGATCATGCAGAATCTTTCATTATGAATTCTGCAGAAAACCCACGAACATTTTAAAAGCAATAGATTTTTCACTTGTAACGAGAATTAAATTTCGGCATGCCGTAAACACTAGGGCTAGATGTTCATTACTCTTTCATTTATCTTCATATTCTAAACGTCTGGCTCCTGATAAATACTTCCCTTCTCGTCGTTGATTAAAATAAGCTCATTTGAGGTGAAAAAATAAAAGAAAAAATCATTGTCACTATAAGTAGACGCATTTATTTTCAAAATTTTACGTATGCAGCATAGTAACGTGGACAACTTAAATTATATATTCTAAAATTGAATATGAGGCCCTAGCAGCCTGTGCAATTGAAGAAAATTCTAAACTAAAAGTCTAAACTCCTAGCTACAGTAACATGTAGTCCCTAGCCGACACTTGAATCCAAAGGTTCTTGCAGAATTTACGCGGATTAATTTCTCATGCAACATTTACATTCTTTATAAGGAAGTCTGATGGAACATGGCCATTGACTTAAAATTGCTGAGTTTTAATTAATAATACTGAGAAAAATACTGTCTCTATAACCATATATATGGACAATTAATGACATCCAGTGGATTTATTCCATCATAAGAAGGTTACAGGATACAGTTTCAAGGGTTCTGATTTTTCTACAGAGGTTGTAAGAGATCAATATGGTCCGAAACAGGTGTTTTTTTGAGTACATAAAAACTGATATTCAGTTTCTTGTATGAAGTAATAGTATTACCATTCCCTGCTATATCATCTGTGCTTTTTATGAACAAGGGTTTAATGAGTAGGGCTTCATTGGAACGGAAAAAGGCTAGCAGTTAAAGTTCTGACAATCACCAGGAGAGGATTTAAAATGTTCAGTTGGCACATGGGGCATTGAAATGTCTCTTCATCTGTTGTTATCAAAGAATAATGGGAAA